AATAATAAAAAGAAAATTTGGGGAAGGAAGATTTTAAATGTTTACATTGACCCCACTTTGACTATAGATCTGTAGATGAGAAGGATGGTCACACAGAGTGGGGAAAGCTTTGGGATAGGAGGGAAGTCCACAAGAAGCAATTAATTGTTTCTGCATCATTTGGGGTTATGATAGGATGAATTAAGGTGTTGTGATAGGATGTATTAAGTTTTTCTATTGTTCTTTTATTGGGGGGGTTGTTTTTTTTGCAGTGTCAGGGATTAAACCCAGGGGTACTCTACCACTAACTAAATCCCTGGCCTATTTCATTTGAGACAGGGTCTTGCTAAATTGTAAATGACTAAAGAGCCTAGGCTGGYCTGGAACTTGAGATCCTCCTGCCTCAGCCTCCCCTGTGGCTGGGATTGCAGACGTGCACCCCCACACCTAGCCAACGAGTTCAGTTTTTAATACACATTCTAGAATGTGTATGTGGCTCTGTTCAGCCCATAGCTTTTTAACAGATCATCCTCCCCCATACCTCCTCCCTTTCATCCTCTGGCCCTTTATAATTAAATTTAAGACATTTCATAATTTTTCTTTTATCAACATAAACCCTCAGGGGACATACTTAAACCATGACCAAACCATAGCAGAAAAAAAAAACAAAAACTGATAAAAGTCCCAAGAAAAGCCAAGGACAATCTTCATTCAGTGAACCTAGCATTTACATTTCTAGAAAATTCAGCATCTGTTAACACCTTTGACATTGTTGGGTTCTAAGTGCAGATTAACAGCTTTCCTCTGTGAAATAAAAGGTACAGGAGACCATTGGCTGGATTGAGCTCCAGAGACCAACCAAAGCAGGGCCACTCATGCCCAAGTCCCAAGTCACCAAGCTGACACTGAGTTGTGATCTATCCTTCCCAGTCATCGGGAAAGTGATAGAGAAAGGCCAAATCCAGGAATCCCTCTGCTTTACAAGAAAAGGAACTTTGAAACAACCAGTCTGCCTCACTTTCCTGAACTCCTGGACTTCGTCTCTCCTATCAACCAAAGTCCTCTGCTCAGCTGATGGGAAAACCCATTCTGTTTTATAGGCCGAGGC